TATGATTTCCCCTTCTCTTGTATATCTAATTACCTACGTTTATTTATCAACAAAAGTAGATTTAGTGTTATTAACTACATTCGAATATAAGTGAAGTGAATAACAGAAGAATTAACCATCTACAAACTGTAAACAATATATTATCATTGAAAAAATAATATACATCTATGATAGAACTTTATGTTCTAGGAATGTTTATAGTAAATACTCTCTAAAAAGTATTTTAAAATTTTATTTCATACAGAATTATTTCTACGAAAATATTCTTAACAACACAAATACTTTAAGTTTTATATGTTTCACAGTTATGAAGTTTTTTTTTAAATTTTGATATATAGTATAAGTATTTTATTTTTTTATTTGAACACATAAATATTGGTACAAGAGGGCACCAAATATGTATGCGCCACACATTTTCATTATCATTAATATTTGTGTGTGGGCTGTGATACTACCCGGGTGCCCAGACCGAAACAGGTGGTTTTCCTAGGGGACCACACCCCGAGCCTTCGACCTAAAGGTCTGACCCACAAGACAGTGGAGCATCATGAAGAGGTGCATTCCCATGGTAGCCAGTGAGCAACGATTGGTTCATACGCCATTTGTTCCCGCAGGATACTGGAGCCCATGTGCACCATTGGTTTGGAATCCGGTTAATGCGCCGGACATTTGCTTTTCGTCCTCTCATTTTCGTAAACAACACCCCCGTCACGAGAATTAGTATATCTCAAAACGTTATTAATTATATATTTACCAACATTTACTTTTCCAGTGATAGAGTCTTTTCATAACAAAGAATATACATATTTTCAGCTAAAATAATGATTAACGTTCGCTCAATAACAAGAAATAAATATTCTCATCGAAATCATGAAGCGATCAAACCTAAAAATACTGAATGGCCGTTTCATTTTAATATGGGCTTCCTTAGCAGTGCGCATCCGTGATCTCACACCCGAGATTTGAACCTAATATCTTCGGTCTCGTGAGAAAATTTAAACTTCAGATCACTGCGCCGTATCGGGTGTGAGGCAGTTATCCATTGAAGACAATGGAAGATGGTCAAGTGACATCGTGTATTAGTTAAAGTTAGACACCAACAGCACTGAATGCCGGCGTATCAGTGGTCTACAGTTCGAGCAGTTCAAGCGCGAGACCGAAGGTGTTTGGTTCGAATCTTGCGGGTGGGATCGTGGACGCGCACTGCTGAGGAATTCTATACTGAGATGAAACGGCCGTGTTGTGCTTCTAGGTCTAACTTGGATCGGCTCATGATTTCAATGAAATTCAACAGTCTCCACAACCCCAAACTTAAAGTAAATTTACAAACTATGCATTACATATTTTTTATAATATGCTGTGATATTCTACAAAGTAAGAGGACGCTGATTATTGAATAATAATCAGTGTGTAGTAAGCCAATGAGAAATTTTCTTCTATGAAAAGAAAATAAACATTGATCTGTCACTTAAAAGTCAACTTAAAGTATTCCATTAAACTTATATAAATCGAATGATGGGTAGAAAAAAAATGCTTCCTGTGCATCTGAGGTAGTGTTGAATCGTACAAGCAAGTCAAGGATGGTTCTATATGGAACAGGAATTAGTACCCGACAGCAAATTCCTCAACTTAACATCAAAATAAGGACAAATCAGGAAGAATGCCAAAAAGTCACGAGAGATTTTAATAAATAACTCTAAAGAAAGCAATACAAAATGCAAGTTTGAAAACGCAGTTGAATGTTTAAAGCATTATCGTTTATCAGAGCCGCAAAAATCCAACTGGATAAACTGTAACTACTATGTCTGGTTTAGGGATAAGCATATCAGTAGTTTCACGTGTCTATAGTAGTTGTTTTTTTCTGAGACAAGAACTTATATGCTTCAAATTGAGTTAATAGTGTCTCTAATCATGAGGTGTACGTTTAAACTACTTCGGTTAACAAAGTTTAGTGGCCTAATCACTTGAAGATAATTCAGTCATCTAAATTTAGTGACAAGTAAATAAATTGATCTATTAAATAATAATTTTCCATGTTTAAACTAATTACTGATACGCAAATTTCTTTAATCTACCTGTTATTAATTAAGATTTGTAGCTTAGGTGGAGCTTTGTTCTCCAAGCTGGATAGTTTGGTCGTGGAGCTTTCATCGTTCTTTTGAACATCATCAGCACAAACTTTACGTAGAAGTGAAGTATTTGAATTTCTCTTCATATGACTCCTGATCAGTTATTGTCGACCCTTAACCTGCCATTATGTACCTCTTTATTTTGACTGTATCCCCATTGATTTGATTCTTGGTCCTGGATTTGTCCATAATTTTCCCGATTGGTTGATAGATTGGATCGATTTCAATGTGTTTGTTGATTACTGATTGAACTGGGTGCCAAGCTTCTAAAAATTATTTGGTGATTTTAGAATTCCCTTTATCCAAGATCTCACCATTGTCTTAGTCGAAACACTTCTTTATCAATAAACTTGAGAGTCAAAATAGTCTTTCGAAATTAGAAAATTTGCTTGCATGTGTATGCCCGATATAAAGTTTTACTCATGAGTCCTATACACATCTCAATCTATACTAGTATTTCCTGTTTTCAAACCTATTGATTAACTTAAAAGAAGTGATAAAATACTCTAACGTTTGTCAACTTATAAAGAGATCTTTTACAATAAAAATTAGACATCACTTAATTGAGCTTTGGAAATTGATTTGAATGAAAAGCTTATAAATATTCTATGGTGTTATATTTTCTATTTTTTGTGCAAGATGCAAACGTTTATTTCAGTTGAATTCATGCCCAAAATCAACTACATGCATTGGTATAAACAGTACTTCTCCAATACTTATGACAAGACTAAATTCAAAATCATCAGGTCACGTGTTGACCTCAGATTTCAATAATTTGTGATGTAGGAAACGATTTTCAAATAATGTAAAACCTCACTAAAATTACCTCATTAAAAGTTATTATATTATTATTACATAGTAACTCACTGAAGACAATAGTAGATATGTCGCCCAATTTCGTGGCGTAGTTGAAGCTAGACATTAACACCATTGGATGCCGGCTCATTGGTTTAGAGGTTAAACGTTCACGCGCGAGACTGATAGGTCCTGAATTCGAATCTCACGGGACAGGGTAGTGGGTGTGGACTGCTGAGGAGCCCCACATAGGACGAAACAGCCATTCAGTGCTTCCAGGTTTTCCATGATGCTTTAGCTTCAATTGACTCATGATCTCAGCTATTAGAATGTTATTATATTTGTTTATATTCTTATAACATGTATTTGTAAATATTTTGTTTTAAATAAATTACTTCTATTTTAAAAGAAGGTTTCCTCCAATTTTCAAGAATTCAGTCTAAACAAAACTTTAATCTAGTCAATTTAATTGGAAATACTGCGAAATTATTAAAACTACATTAATCATTAGATTATTGTATACTGGATCTTTTCAACAATGTTCATTTAAGAGCTATGACCTTTGTATAAAAAGATTATCCTTTAAAAAAAAATTTATGTTTTGGAAATATGTGTTATCTATCCACAGTATTGTAATTGGTTATCACTCAAGAATATAAGTCGAACCTTAAACACAGTCAAATATATGCTTACTTAATGTCAATAGAAAATGTTCTGTTTATAATCTACAATTTCTCTTTTACCATTTAGTGGTATAACTTTCCATCCAGCTTGTCTACAATAATATTTAATATTAATTTCAACAGTTAAGATCATGGGTTAATTGAAGCTAGATCACCATGGAAAACCTGGAAGCACTGGACGGCCGTTTCGTCCTATTGTGGGACTCCTCAGCAGTGCGCATCTATTATTAAATTTAACTTGATATGAAATATGACTGGTAATAAATGGTATAATAGAAATAGGAAGAACTTAACACATTTTAAAGTAGAAAGATTAAAACAATGAGATACATGATTGTTCAACCATGTACGAATCGTCAAAACTATGTTAATATAAAGTGTAAACTTTTTTTTCTAACTACAAACAGCTTTTTAACAATTCTGTTCATTGGAAAATTTCGCATCATAACAAACATTACTTTTTAAACTTCATGTTTTAAGAACTCTAAATAAACACCACTAATTATTTATTTTAAACTTGTGAATGGCGCATGTTTTGGTAAACAAAGTAATAATTTTGGTGCTCATATTTTATAAAGATTTCCCCGAACTTGTCATATCGAAACCTCGCCGGTATATTTCGAATAATAACATTTTGTAGTTTACACCACAGACTGATCCCATCCCCATGAAGGACTGGATAGTTGTTTCGTTTTAGTGTGGGATTCCTCAGTAGTGAGCATCCATGAATTTACAACAAGGTATCAAACTCAGCACCTTTGATCTACCTGTAGAAGACTGACCCCACATCCAATGGTTTACATTTTTAATTTCATTCAATTCGTGATATTCCCTGAATATATTTCACTACCTGTGATGAATTATTGTCTCACACCCGACAGAGTCTTACTAGTTAAGATTTCTCAATAGAACCCTTGGAAGCATAACTCAAAGTTAGTCACTAGCGATACAGAATTTAGTCGAAATTTACATTTTGGGATCTTTGGGAGAAGCCTTTTTAAACACTCTACACATAAAATCCCATACAAAGAACAGCTTATCTTCGTCACAAGTCAATTTGTCGTTTCCGGGTGACGATGAAATGTACTAAAATAATCAGGTTAGTCTCTACTACTTACTACCAGTATCATAAGTTACATTCATTATATGTGTTGCTCTACAGAGTCATTTCTGACACAGGAAGTGAAAATACTTTAGGAAACTACTCAAGGAAAACATCAACAAACTGAGTTTACTGCAACCGCTTGAATGTTATTTTGATAATTTGAGGAAATTAGTTTATAAAATTTTATTAGGTTTATTTTTTACTAATGTTGTTTCATCATCACCACAGAATATGTATTTATGATCATTGATAAAAATGTCTTTAATACTATATTACTTTTGTGCTTAGGTTACACGTAATGGAATAGCTCATAAGTCTGGACTCGAACCTGGAGATGTAATATTGAAAATATGCGCAACTCCGATCACTGGGATGATACATGCCCAAGTGAAAGCTGAAATTTTAAGAGCTGGTAACGATTTGGATTTTATGGTTAAAAAGTAAGTTAACATCTTATTTGAATTATATTTTTCAACGTTGTGAATAAGTGCTAATTAAAACGTGATTAGTGAAATTTATGTTGTCCAATATTCAATGTTAATGATGGTTTATTAATTGTGCTTAGTCTTACAGTATTTAATCAACTGAAGTTAGTTAGTTAGATTTATTTAACCAGATCCTAAATACATTTTAATTTAATTTAATTTTATTTGAACACAAATATTGATACAAGGAGGCACCAAATAGATAAATGCCACACAAATCACTTGATTTGTGTGAGGGCCGTGATACTACCCGGGTGCCCAAACCACAACAGGTGGTTTTCTTAGGGGTCACACCTGGTGCCTTCGACCTAAAGATCTGATCCACAAGGCAGTAAAGCAACGTCAGGAGATGTGGTCCTACGGTAACCGGTGACCAACAATTGGTTCATATGGCTTTTGTTTCCTCAGGATCCTGGAGCCCATGTGCACCATTGATTTGGAATCAGGGTGGATTCTTCGTATCCACCAACCCGGTTAAAGCGTCGAACATTCGCTTTTCGTCCTCGCAATTTCGTGAACAACACCTCCGTCACAAAAACGCAGTGAGTAGGATTCCCCTGACATTGGCTGTATACGCGTGGCCATGTGAGAACATTTGGAGAGAGCGAGAGCCGACTCTTCTCACCCTCTGTCGTACCAGGGAATTTGGGGGCGATTACATTTTTAGTGAGCATTATTTTTGGATCTTTAAAACAGTTACTGCTATGAAAAAGTCATTTATTGATTTGCATTTAAATAACTTAGAAATAAGTTTCATCCCGGAATGAAAATATGATTCTTTATTGCCAGGTGTTATTGTGAAGAGAAATTCGGTCACTAAAACATTCATATAAAAACTGTTCACAAAATTTATCACCGATACTTTACATCTATGTCAAAGTAGTTTAACTAGTCATCACTAGATTGCATATCACTTTGTGGATCCTGACCACCTATAAGTAGTGTAGTGATTATTGAAATACTCTGAGATAAACCCTTGAATTGAGCGAAACATGTATTGAAATCTTATCAGTTCAAATTTATAAAACTGTACAGCGATAATAAATTGTATACTGTGAAAATAACCTCTAGTATTAAAGACATGAACAGTACGAAGCTAGAGTCATTCAGGTAACTCACAGTACTTTCTGAATGTTAAATAACTTCATTAGTTAATAAATGTTTGGAAAGCTTTACCTAATCTGATGAACATTATTTACTTATCATTAGTAGAGGAAAAGGGATGTTTTACGCTTGAAACATATATATTTTTTACTTTTTACAACATCGGACAATATGCCTTAAATTCTCTGGTATAGATATGCGTTTAAGTTGTAGTTTAAATAGTTTATCAGTACAGTTCTTTACCATAGCAATGTACTTGATAGGTTTAAACCTCCATATGAGTATAATTCACTTGATTTTGCATTTATTCTGCTTATTAGCATCAAAAGTAAAACTTGAATTTGTGACTCAATTTAAATAGTTTTAGAATACATTGATAGTCGACTCATCTGTTGTCTGAGTAACTTTTCTTATCCGGTTAATCAATATATTCTGATATTCAACATTATCTAAATCAAAATTAGTAATGTTTTCGTTGATTACTTCACATGACAGGGCAGGTTACTACTCATAGCCGGTAGAGAAAGTACCGTTTATTTTAAGAAATTTAATGTCATTCATTTTTCGGAAACTTTTGTTGAATTTTTGTCAGAAAAATAATCTAATTATGTAAGGAAAGTGTTTATAATACATTAATTGGTAACTGAGTAATAAGCACTGTCATGTCTGTCTAGTCTTTAGTGCTGATCATATTCTATCGATTAAGTTGTCGTATAGTCACTAGTCTAAATAATCCAATATTACATAAACTATGTTTTGATAATAGATGATTGTAAGTAGACGAAAGGACATCCCAAATTTAGGTTTGATGATAATTAGTACTAATTAATAAGATAATCTTGTGGGAATAAAACATAATACAAATGATGTATATGTACTTATGGGGAGATATATTTTCAGACGCCGATTCGTTGGTCGTTTCTTCAATTACACTACATCAAGAAGTGATTCCGTGTAATTCTTAGCTACCGATCAAAAAAAATTTACGGTAAAAAGCATCATTCATCTAAAAACCTTTTGCTTAGTATCCCAAATTTTGGAAATTTACTCATCTTTACACTGTTCAAAGCATAAACAAAAAAAAGAAAAGAAACGATATTTTAAAAAAATACTTGATTCTGAACTTCATGTTATCACTAATAAATTTTCTATTTATTTTAGACGTGATTTCAATGTAGTTGCTTATAATCAAACAATGCAACAAATTGCTGCTTCTAATCGACCAATTGATGTCGCTTCAAATTCACCTGAACCACGTGCTGAAATAGTTGAAGAACATTTATGGCGACATGGTGGTCCAACATTTAAAAATGTTCAACCAAAATCATATAAAATCCTTGAACAACAATTACCGCAATCAAGTATGGGAGGTAAGTAATAATATAAACTATATTAAATTATCACTTTTATTACTGATTACTCTATTTACACACAAAATACAATGTAGTTAGTCATGTAAAAGTAAGATAAATTTTATTTTATTAAAAATGTTTATCGGTGAAGGCATAATTAAACTGATGTAAAACGTTGATTTTACAATTTTTTATTGTTACACCATTAAGAGATATTATTAATTAGTGAATGGGTTTTATTCTTAATTAATTGAAGTTTTAAAATACTAATTCATTAGTTTAATTCATAATTTCAATAGTTGAGATTATAAGTCAATTGAAGTTAGACCATCATAGAAAACCTGGATGGACGTTTCGTCCTATTGTGGGACTCCTCAGCAGTGCGTATCCAGGACCCCGCATCGCAAGATTCGAATACAGGACTTATCAGTCTCGCGCGTGAACGCTTAACCACTAGACCACTGATCGGGCATCTTTCTGATACTAATTCATAATTACTGATTATAAACTAGATATTGGTAATGATTCCGAATCATATTGTATTTAATTAAACGTAATTGTTTCGTAAAGTTGGTTGGTTTGTATTAATTATTTATATAATTCTACTTTCTTATAAATCCTGATCAAATATAGTAAATCAATGAAGAGAATGTATTCATCGTATTTATTATTTTGAATAAAGCTAATCTGTAACATAATGAAGATTTACTTCACTATTATGTATTTAATAAAAAATACCATAACTTAATTAATTTCCAAGTGGGAAATAGTAATTTGATAGGTAATGATACGTGATGTTCAATGTACAGCAATCATATATAATGAAGTTGAAACAGCTGCTTAAATACATCTCAGGGACAACCATAACATTATAAGAATTACAAGTAATTTATGTTCTAAAATATATTTAAATAGGCAGGAGATCGACGAGTTCAGTTTTTTTCTAAAAAAAATCCAACATATGTTAATTAATTATTATAATGATTCGATTTAAGTGAGAGTATAGTAATGCTAGAAGCTAAGGAATCTAAAATTTAACTTTACACTATAATTTATTTAATTTCGACAGAAATATCTAAGTTTTAATCAGGATCATGAACTGATTAATCCTAGTCCATTATTGAAATCCTAAAAGCACTGGATGACTATTTCGTACTAGTATAGGACTTCTCAGTAGTGCATGTCCACAATTCCCGCACATGGGACTAGAAACCAGGACCTTTGATCTTTCGTACGAATGCCTAACCTTTAGAGCATTAAAATGGCATCTATTGGTGTTAATTTCTAACTTCAACTACTGTTGAGGAGTTCCATACTATGACGAAGTGACTGTCCAGTTCTTTCAGGTTTTCAGTGATGGTCTGAGATTGATCGGTGTATAATATCAGTTAAAACTCAACAATCTCCACAACCCTATAGTGTGAAAAATCTGAAGTCAATAAAACCTAAGTAACTATCTAATCATAAAAGTTAAGTTAAAATTACGAACTGTCTGGCATAATGAGTATAACCATATTTAGTAATATTACATAAAAGTACCGTCGTTATTCAGTAGATAAATAATCTCAAAAAGTGCTTGTAGTAATCTACTTTTATGCAGAGAATGAGATTGGTGTAATGGAAACATTTATTATTCTAACCAACTGTACCAGTGATTGTTTTAGTGTACCTTTTTGTTTAATTGTACGAAAAACACACTTTTTCCGTTGTCTGTGACCTTGAACGGTAGTCTCGCCTGTAAACTTTGGCACGATCTCGGTATTATTTCGATAACACGAGATCACCAACAAATGTATCCTATCTACAATTGTCCTTCTAACATTTATCCTACGAAGAGATATAACCTGGTAATTGGCACGTAATCGATCCGTAGTGGTGATCATAGTCAACTGCGAATCTACACTATCATATGCTTTCAGTCAATCACATACTTTTTGAATTACTATTTATAAAGAATTCGTACATATGAACGTTCATTAAGAAATAGATCGAAGTTACAATAATTAAACTAACAATAAACCACTTTAGATACTATTCATTTAACAAATAAGTAGCATATTGAATAAATCTGTATTTTCGACTTCATAATCAGTTTGAACTTGTTATTAACCAACTATATAAAGGTTAATCATAGACGTTCAAGATATAAAATTCAAGAAACAAATGTGATAAGCAAACTAAATGCATAAAATGTGAGTGCAATAAACGTTTGATGAGTTATAAATCATTTGAATGTCAAATAAAATTTATTCGCAATGTCTCATGAAAACATGATTGTCAGATTATTGACTTCTCAAGCACGCGTATTTCGTACAGGAACATCGGATGAATAATGAAGTTTTTGTAGCCTTGACACGTATTAAGGTGAAGTAGGCTGTGACGGAACATGTTATGTGCTTACGGGTGACTAGGTTTGAGATCAGTTCAGCCATGTTGGAAGTATGGTGAATATCATTAATGGGATTGGATAACAATCTAATAATGTCTCGAATAAACCTAAACGTTTGATTATAACTCAGTGTTCCAAAAGTATATTGAAACTCATAGGTTCAGTGTTGTATAATTAACTTGTTACTAACTACTGTGGAGTTCTTAGTTATGACAAAATAATTGTCCAGTGTCCTCTAGCTTAAGAAGCTGGCGTGGGTTCATAATGAAATAAACTAACAATTTTAGTCTAAATGATCTTATGTTAAACTAGTGAGTCTGTCATAGTAGTTATCGTTTCACTGCTTGATGTATTAGAGGAAAAAGGTGAAATCAAGAGACTGATAGCTTTATCCATAGGGAATTGATTTTGTTTAATCTCGTAGCAATTTTTACACATAAATTCGTTAAACAGCTGTTCATAAACAGTTAACTGATTTGAGAGGATCTCATTTAGCTAACCAAAACATTGTGTACGAAATGTATTATGTGCTGATAAAGGGGATAATAACGTTGAAATCACTTATTTCTAGGCTTCTGTAAGGGTTAATATGTTAAAGTCTTGAAATGTTTTATCTTTAGATCATTATGTAAGATTATATAACTCATTAGCGCATCATTTTCCGAATAATCTCTTTAATTATCAGTCAATGTGATTGTAGACATTTAGTTCAAATACTAATTGATTCAGATTGACTTAGCTTCACTGAAAGATAAAGCTTGTCAATATAGGTACATCATTCTTTCTCACTGCTTATTCGCACTTCAGGAAAATCAGGATTTTTACAAAGGTATTTGTGCTTGACAGTTTCCTCCTTAGGTTATAATGAACAACTTTTCATTCAATATTTATTTCCAAATAATTTCGTTAATCTGTTACAAAAATTCCCACTTTGATTGTAGCTAACAATTATGATATAACAGGTAATGTTAGTATGGTGGGTTGTGTTTGATGTTCAATAAATTGATTCAATATATTCTAGCATTAGCTACATAAATAAATATAGTAGAGGTTTAATTATTTCTGGGTTTTAAATGAGCTGTATTATTGAAATGGCTTATTTTTTGGTGCTTTACATATTAATAAATCAATAATAACAATTCAAGTAGTTTTTATTTCGAACTGAATTCAAATAAACAACTTAAGAAAAATTGTCTGACTGTATTCTGCATGTTTAACTTATGGTAACTAATAGCTAAACAAATTTTTGCTTATAAATCAAATACTCAATTTTATGTTGTCTAATTTTCAACAAAAAATTGATAGATTAGTATCCTTTCAATGGTTAAGATCATAAATCACTTGAAGCTAGACCCACTGTACTTCCAGATTTTCCACGGTGGTCTAGTTTCAACTGACTTATGATCTTAACCATTGAAATTACTATAATATCCACAAAACCCAACTGATATTAGTATCCGATACTAATAATGTTTAGTCAACAACTGATCCCAATTAAACAGATAAATACTTGTACATAATACATTTGATGATGAAGTATTTCTTCTACATTTCCTTAGTTTCAATTCACTGTTAGAATAGAAATTGAGAATGGAAAGAATATCAATGATGTAACATTTTGAAATGCATTTTATTTAAAAATATTATAATACTATAAAGTACCAATTAGAAAAATCATATTTCTGGTTAGCGTTTTTTTTTAGCGAGTTAGTTAGTATTCTACGGGATATGGTCGCTAACCCGGTGCCTAACTCTCCTCCTTTACTCGGGCTTGGGACCGGCATTAATGCTAGAAGAGCTACAGGTGGAGTTAATTAGAAAATTCATAACTATACATAATTCTGCTTTCTAATTGATCAATTTCATATAAAAAGAGAAAAAAATTATTTACTCTAAAGTGTATTTAAGTTGTTTATTTGTCAATTTTTCGCATGATTTTTTGGTTGCATGTTTGATTATGCTTTATGATAAAGATAAACTCTGAATAATGATTATAATTATGAATTTGGGGTTCTTTAATTTCATGCAAGTTAGGTCATATTTAAGCATAATTTTTATACTACTTAAAAATAGATCTGATTATATTAGCTTATATACGATTAATTTTAATGATGCAGATGGTTGAAATGAGTAAATGAATGAATAATAGTAATAGATGATCTGCTTGAATTAACCGATATTTATGAAATTTCACCATACCATTATGAATGTACTGGATAGAGAATATTAAGACTAATCAATGATTATAAAGTGGTTTATTGAAATAGGCATTTTATTTGATTAATTTAATGCCTTGTTCAAACAATTTTAATAAACTTCAATGGTTTGTTGAATTTTATCTAAATATTTTTAAACTTATGAATTTTATTTTCAAGGTCCTGCACCGGGTTCTGTATTCGATCGTAGTATGGATGAACGATCACCATATTTACAAGCTACTGAGCAAACTATTCAAAAAGCTTATGGCGAGTCCTAAGTCTACAAATTAACAGCTAAATACACATTTTCTTTTCTCATTGTTCCAATTAAACATGCTGTGCCATAATCACCTGTCTTTATAATATGTTCATTCATCTGCTTGATGTATTTAGATATTAAACTTTCTATTTATATTAAATTATTGCTAACACTGTTACTGATGGCATTACATCATATAATATACCATATTATTCATACCTTTTCCCCCTATTTCCCTTTCTATCTATCTTTCTGTTCTCCAATCTATTAACTATCTAAATAGATTAAATAGTCTCTACTATGAAAGATTAACATCTTTACAAAACAGATAGAGATGAATACCCTTAAAAAGGAAATACAAATAAATAATTTTTCTTTTATTTTATTTTTTATACCTTAATCTTATTTTCTCTTTCAGTCTTCCTGCCTACACTATAAAAAAGAAAACTAACTAAAGTTTTCTAGCTTAACGCCTGTTTTAGTAAAGGTAATCGTTTTAATATTGGATAAATTGTATTTGAAATGTATGTTCTTCAGTAAAATGCAATACTTTACCATGTATGATATTAGACAAACAATAAAATTGTAAGAATTAATTATTTTGGGATGGATTCCTTGGAAAAAAAAGGTAAACTATGCCAGTAAATATAGTTATTATCATTAGATAATAAGTTATGTTTTTTTCCCTAACGTTTTACTAGTTAATTTTAGAGACCAATTCTTCTAACTTTATATTATCATTGATAGCGGACAGGAAAGACTATTCATGAGTGAATAAAATCTACACTAATAGAATGTTCATCAAATCCACATGAAATAATGGAACAGTTTTACCCAGCGTTTCTTGGTTTTCGATAGTACTTGAATTGTAGACTGTTTGCACTTTCTACAAATCTTATTTTTAACTAGAATAGTAGAACTATTGTGAAATAAGAAAACATCTTACCTTGTATCTCTGTCTAATGGAGACTCTGAAATTATGATCGAATTATGCTCAATAAGCTAAACAATCAACAATGTGTTATAAACTTCTATTTAACATGACTTATATATCATCAGTCAGTCTTAAAATTCTAAATTTGACATTGACTGGCTTTCTGTGCTTAACATTTGTGCTTCGAAATAGGTTTCTTTATCCTGAATCATATATTTGATTAATAATGACTTTAATTTATCTAGGATTACATCATGATCAGAAGAACATAAGTTCCACATTAAAGAACTAGCATTTATATAAACTGATTTACTTTAGATATTACTTTATATTTCTTGTTTTATCCTGATTTTTGTTGCGTTTAATCTTTGATAACAACAACAAATTGCTGTTATTGTAGTTTTGTAGTGAACAAGAACACGAGTGGGGACAAACGGATGTATTTAGCACAAAAATTACAGACTATCTCAACAAAATCCGAATACCATATAGTAAATCGTCAATTTGCAAAATATTCATGCATCAAACTGGGTTGTTTCTGTTGCAAACATCACTCCATTGTCTCCCATTCCATTGTTCATGTGTCTTCTTACAAATTCCATTGTGTTCTCGCTCTACCTTTCTTGATCTTTGCCATCTTCTGCTGCCAGACATTACGTTCTTTTAACGCACGTTTTATACTACTTATATCAATATAAGTAGCTCACACCACAGTTTTAGACCCATTATATTAGAATAAATTTGGTATACACTCGTGACAGATTTTCGTAAAATTTTCATATTGAGTTGATGAAACACTTGCTCTGTAATAATGATTTCAATGTATCGAATAATCAATTGGACGGATAAGAACATTGTTATTTAGTCATAAATACAAACTTTCAACACTTCACATTGTTATATAATCAACTAATTGATACAATTCGACAATTAAAACACTTTTGTATTAGGTCAACTTGCTACAAATAATAAGAAATCGGTAGAACGAAATTCGAGTAAAAGTGTTTATATGATGATTTAAACATTTTAGTGGACAATTATCATGAATACAATCTTACTCGAAATTTACGTGCTCCCAACTAATTTCGCTTAGTTTCTTAAGCCAGATACTTTGCTGGACCACCTAATGTGAACAACTAGGACATGAAAATGCTAACTATGAGATGTTTTGGGAAAATCATATCTCAGATACAGTAGAACCAGGTCAAATTCGAAACGCAGAGTAAAGTAAAAAGGTCAGAGGAAGTGTTAAAAAATCTCAAATTCACCAGTGGGCAGAAAAAGGAATTCATAAACACACAATTCAGATAGTTCACTACACGCTGTTTCTATTTGTGTTATATTTCGAAAGTCGAACATTTTCAGCTCTCATTGTCGTGTCGTGTTTGGATTTCGTATGCCTCTTAGTAGTTCTCATTACCATTCAAGCATTACTAATTATATCTGAGTTCACAAAATCAAACTAATGGATTCATTCATTTTTCACAATTTATACATCAATTACATCACCTGATTACAAACATGAATTTGTCTACTTCATCCTTAATCAAATGATCAAGAGCACATATTTATGCATCGACATTTTCCTGAAGTTTACAAGACACCATTACTTCCATAATATTCAATATAATTTGCTCTGGAGATTTTGTAAAATCAAGTAAACGAGCAATTTTCAAATGTAACTGGGATCATAGGACTTACACTCAACAATTGGTGACCATATGTAACGTGACTTTGCAGATGCAGTTATCATAATAAACTCTTTTCAGTGCTACAGAGAGGCCATCATTTATCAGTTTTGATGGCTTTTTAATATCTTCATTTAATAGGTTTACTAGGTATGAAGAGTCCTCAAGGTTAGTAGTGATACTAGTAAAAAGAAGAAGACGAATATTCATTTTCAATAAAGCTGGTACGCACCGATTTTCCAGTCTTAATAAGACCTTGAATCACAGTAACCCATTCATCGGTGTATTAATTTTCACATTAATTCTTAAGGCCAAATTAACGGTTATAAAAGTACTCACAATTTAGTAACAATGAATCTCAACGTTTTTTTCCTTATTTTTGAAGAAATGCATGGCAAATCTAAGCTGTGAAAATAAACTCATAGTGTGAATGAACGGTAAACGTGATAAGCTTAAAAATATGTTGTGAGACGAGGGTCCAGTGTGTGCGGTAAACACTGGCTCCAGTGATGCATTGAAGATCTTTAACTGCTAGAAAAGTATCACTTAAGTTTTGAGTGAATGATCACGATAAGATAGATCCTTGAGAAGAGAGAGTCAAAGTTTGTCGTAATTTTCGTATGAGTTATATTCTGTACAAAAAACCACTTTCGGTGCTACATATTTTTTTAGTTAGAAAAAATATACTAACGTTACAAGGTACAAGCGTTGTTATAGAAATGGATACTTACTTTAACTACTACATGTGTTGATGACAACTGGAATCTTGCACATTGGTTAAGTTTCTTCAGCTGGTCTATCATCGATTGTTCTATCAATATCGATGATAATGATAATAACAATGCTATTCAAGTCTTTGTCATATCTATTATCAATAGGTTTTAGTGACCTACTTTTATCAAGGGAACGTGACTGGTGTAATGTAAACAATTATTATTATAATCAATTGTACCAGGGATTGTTTTTCTGTACTTGCTTGTTCAACTGTACTAAAGACAGTTTTCCTTCCGTTGATTGTGACCTTGCTGGAACTTACGTTTGCTCAGTAGTTCCACTTGTACTCCTTCGGCACGATCTCGGTATTATTTCGACACCACGAGATCGCCAACAAATATATCTCGTTACAACCTTCAATCGCCTTCTGACTTCTGGTTTACCCGGAGGTTTAGCTTGTTCTGGTACGCAATCTTCTTGCAGTGGTGATCGTAGTTAAACGCGACCAGGCGACACACTACAAGGTCATCGGGATTAGTAATATAAATTCAAAGAACATTATACTGAATGAACGTTAAACCGGCATAAAACAAATATTATACTGAGTGGTTAACACATCAAATAAAAAACGACGGTGGAACAGAATAAAAATCACATTGTGTAAAAAATGGTCTTTTCGTGCTATTGGTTCTAACCACACATCCTCAAAGCTAAATATGGGATAACTGAGAAAAGTTAAATTTAACATTTAAGATATAGAAAAGGTCAGTAATGGCGAACGCGGAAACAATTAGTGGAAACGTCATGATTCAGTCGTGAAAGCATGGTCATTCTTTATAACCTCTTGTGTTTTTGTTGTTGAATATATTACTCTCTTCCTAACCCAAATGAATTCTTTAGAATTGCTCGAAGTTGTACTGCTAATTGTCATGATAGGATGAGTCAGTATAGACAAGGATGTGGCTTCCATGTGATATCTTGTAGATTAAGTGGCCACATTAAGACAAATCTACAATTCAAGGGTTAGATCTATTATTGTAGTAGCAAATATAAATGTACTAACATTGAACTAGATCACAATTCTGTAGTCGCTCGATTTTTATCGAGTTCCAATGGGTTTTCTGTTGTTAGATGCAGTGATTTCAAAACGCGATAAGACTATGAAATCGTTAAAATTTCTGAAATGAATTCCGATGCTACTCTCTGGTGTGTAGTGCCACTTGAGTCACAGAAGTCCACGTCGAAAATATCTGAAAGTAATTTGCATTGTTTCCACATACAACACCAGTGAGGCAAGATAAGAAAGCTACTTTATAAACATAGACATAAATACTCATTGTCCCAGCTTGTTGTAACGGGTAACTATGTACATGAACGTCATATTGTGCTTTTATGGGTGAGAAAAGAAGAGACGGTCGATGTCATACGGATATAAAATATATTCAGTAAAATTATGAGATACATCACGTACCGACAGTGTCGTGATGGGTTGTGTTTGAGCAGAGATGATGGCTGTTAGCCTAACATACGGATATATCAACATAATACTTGGAAATTTCCATATTTGCCGGAAATAGCTTAAGCAGGTAAGCGTAACTTGATATGCATTTAAACATTCGTAAGCAGTCACGAGACTTCTTGGTAAAATCTTATATGTGTCTATCGGTGCTAACTGTACACGTT